CAACTATTCTTTGATTGGTGTGTATCAATGCAAAGAGGATGACCCCAGGATCTCAACATTTCGACGGAATCGAATTCCAACGTTGGACGAGGGAGAAACGAGCATCGGAAGTTTGGAGTCAAAATCGGTCAAGTTCAGGTACTATTAGTGGCAATTCAAAAAATTTATGGACCACTATTGTAATGTTTCTAAGAGGTCAGAGTCAATGGCGTTGACTGGAAAATTATGCAATCGGTGCCTGATATTTGGAGAGCTGACAGAATGTTTATTTTGGCCATAACTCGATCAATTGACGTCCGATCGAGGAACTGTCTGCGCCTATGGAATCATGGAAGCGAGAAAAATATTATAGGAGGGATTTGGAATTTTCAGAGTCTAAGCAGAGTCGTCTTCTTAAGGTGAGTGTAAAAGGGGTAAATTCTACGCCTTACGGTATTTTAAGTATTTGTTTTACGTGAAGTATGTGCAGTATTTGATTTATGATTGTGTTCGATTATACATGTTTTGATTGAGTTGTTTTTTTGAGTTATTGGTTAAGTTATTGTTAAGTTTATGTCTTGCTATTTAAGTATTTACGACATTTTAAGGGAAAGTTTTAGTAGTACTTCACCATTAAATAAGTTAAGGTGAAGAGATTAAGAGAAAGTAATAAGTAAGAACTAGATGAGTAACCTCGCTTAGCTAGCCACGTTCACGATGGATCAATACTGGACGCGGTAGCTGATCAGATCACTGCTGGACGACAATATGTAATGCAGCAGTCGATCGTGTATTTTGGGTCACTACTGGACAGCGATACGTAACACAGTAGTTGATCGGGAATGGAACTGGACGACGATACATAACGCAGTTTCCATTGGCAAGTTTTAGGTATGCAACCAGGTGGCGATATGTAACGCGGTTGATATATGCTAGTTTTGACACCGGACGGCGATACGTAACGCGGTAGTCAAAACTCAGATTAAGGGGCACCCCATTGTGAGGGTAGCCATGGTTAAGTAAGGCTAGTAGTGGCGCCAGCTAAAGTCAAGGTAGGGGCCCCGTTATAAAATAAAGGTTGTAAGGTACTTAAGAAAGAGTTTTAAGTTAAGTAAGTTTTTTAGGGTGACGAGTAACTTAAACTCCCACGTACTTTTTCCACCGGTTAAAGTTAAGTGTTTAAGTAAAGTACTCAAGTATCAAGAGGTTTTAAAATGTAAGTGCGTAGACTGACCCATCTCACTCACCAGGGCTTAATAAAGGAATGAGCAAGAACCAGGATGATAGCAGCTAATTAGATAAGCAGTTAGAGAGCAGCGAGTTCGAGAGAAACGGTTCGAGGAAAGCTAGCTGGAGGAGGACAGTACGAGCATCACGGAGGATGTCTAGTCAAGGTTATCAGTCAGCAGCAACGTTTGAGATTAATTAGTTAATATACTTTATGATTATGTGTATAAACTGGAGATCAGGTTGAGATTTTAAAGTTTGAGTTTATTTGCCCACTTGTTAGTGCATTGCTTTAAACTACAAGAGTTTGTTTTCGGTATTTTATTTATGAAATTTTTCCTGATGCAGTTTAAGCTTTAAGTGTTTTAATTTTCAAGGGCATTTTAGTAAAAGTAGTGCTCGGCCGAGCTAGGGTGTTACACCTCGCTCACCACAATTTGAACAAGATAACCGAGAGAATCCTACTGGCATGTGCTTGCATGGCGGACCAGTCTATCAATTTGCACCTAGGTTCAGTCATTTCCACTTCTTTTGCTAGGGCTAAAGGGGGAACCCGTCGTTATGTCACATCCATGGGTCCGTACATTACATGCCTTGCCAGATACTTCGATATTAGCCTTTCCGGGTGCTCGAAATAAGGAGGCACCCAGAGATTTGACGAAGGCACTCTGCACTCCATGCGCTTATTGCGCACCTTTGGACCAATGAGTTACATTGAGGGATTGAGTCATGACCCCGAGGTCCCACCAGCAGCAGAGCAGCCACCTGCTCGAGCACCCGACCGCCGTCGGCGTACAGAGCTCCCGCACCCTACACGGTAGCCAGCACCACCAGCAGCAGGCAATCCACTCGAGCGAGTCGTATTGTGTTTGTGTGTGTGTGTGTGTGTTTTTTTTTCTCTCCTTGAAGCTCAAATTATCCTACCACGGTTCGATTCCAACCTTCATTCACCAAGCCCAAGCGGTAACATTATTCAACCCCTTTCTTACGCCATTGAGGGCAATGCCGAGTTTAAGTGTGTGTGTGGCGGGGGGGGGGGGGGGGCGTAGTCTACTAGTATGCTTGTGTGAGTGTGATGATGCTTGGAGCCTTGTGTATGCCCAAATTTCAAAATTTGAGGGCTCCAAGCAATGTTTGCATGATCAAAGTGACCAGATGGTGGGAAATTCTCGTGTTTATGGCATTGATCTTGAATTGTTGCATGTGATCAAGTGTTGCATGTGATCAAGTATATCCTATGATGATGACTGAGAAGTTCATTAGGATAGGGAAAAAGTTTAGTTCTCAAGTGTGCATAAATGAATGGATATCTTGACTTGATCACTTGTCATTTACAATTGCATGCATCGTGTTTGTGAATTGGAATAGTGGTTGGGTAACTAGGTAGCCTGTGAGCCTTGAGCCGATCGTTTCTTTCGGTGTGATAGTTCCCTCTTACCACGGCGTGTAGCATCACAGTTGTCATTAGCAAGTATGGTGGAGGCATAGGATGAGTCCACGCCCAAACGTTGATTGTTCCGAAATGTATCATCCCTTAGTCGACCCCTTTGAGCCTTGTGACTTTGTGGGTCGTTCTCAATTTAGGAGCTTTGTTCGTGTGAGCTTAAAGGTGTTAGTAGAACGACCCCCAAATTCTTTCTTCGTGTCTAAACATGAGTCGCCCGTGTGTCCCGGAGCTCTTACCTTTGCATAGGAGGTTTGTGTGCGGTTCTTGCTAGGAATGCAAAATGAAGTGTAGTGTTGGAGTGAGTTCCTCAAAAAGAGAGCATTGGTCGTTAAATGTTTAGGTGGCAAGTGTTTCGACTCTTTAATACCCCCCTCAAAAATGAAAAAAAGAGAAAGAAAAGAAAAGAGAAATGAAAAAGAGGTAATAAAATGGGGTAAATAAAGTAGAGAGTGCCGCGAAAAATCAAAGTACATGCTCTAGGAGGGGTTTCTTGGCACCCAAGCCATCAAAACCACCACGTTGTTTAGAACTCCTTCACTACCAAACCTTAAAGAGCTAGCAAGAGTTGACCGAGGAAGATTGCTTCAAGGTATTTCATGATGGGTGATAGTTGGAAGGGAGAAATAAGGTTTTTGGCCTATGCTAGTGGCCTTCGATTGAAGAGAAGGGTTTTAGTCAACACCATAGACCCTTTGGGTTTAGGCTGAAGATGTTGAACCTCACGTCATGATTGCCACCACCCAAAAAGCCTTTTCCCCATGTCCAAGCCAATCACTAGTCATCTGAACCCATGTCTAAGATCTCCGGACGAGCTAGTGGTGACAACCATCCCATGAACTCTAGCGTTTAGAGCTTACTACTGTGGTATTGAGACGATAGGGTTGAGAGGTTATGATTGTGCACATCTTTTGCATCAAAAAGGTCCCGACCCCACTGGTCTTGAGAGTGAGTGATCCATTCTTGTTTTACTTACCATTTCATACCCCGGTGAGGACCATTATTGCCTTTCCATTTGTTCCTCAGGCTTGAATTCCATGCATGGTTGGTTTTGGTCGATAAGTGGTTTTGTTGAGACTTGCATTGATCCATGAATAAGTTGAGAACTTTTCATTTGCCCGTTTTGGTGGCTTTGAATGTCGTTTGTGGTGGATGTTGGCACTGCTTGCAATGGTTCATGTGTTGATTGTCAATAAACATCGAGAACTCTCGTTTCATGCCCTTTGAGTTGTCCCAAAGTATTTGTGTAGGTTGAAATATTACCGTGTGCGTGAAATGGTTTGCTTGGGGACAAGCAAACGTCTAAGTGTGGGGGAGTGATTCGGGCCTAATTGCACATGTTTTGCCCCCGTTTTACTTAGATGTTTGTGCCAAATTCACTACTAAAAGGTTGGTTTTACGCTAGGTTCTTCGTGTTTGAGTGTCTTTCAGAATTTAACAGGTGAAAATAGCCCCGGAGTCGAAAGATTGGGAAAAAGGATCGAAAACTTGGAGAATAGGTGAAAGGGAGTTCACGGTATTTCTTGACCGTGAAGAAGAGGAGATGACCGTGAATCACGTAGGCGTCCAAAGCAAAGTGGAGGTTACTGACGCAAGGTGAGTTCACGGTCACTAAGACCGTGAACAAAGGCAGTTGACTGTGAACAGACGTGAACGATGGGGCGCGTTTTGGCGCACGCCTGAAGTTCACGGACGCGTTTCATGGTTCACGACCGTGAACTCAGCTCATCTCTGGTTTAAAAGACTAGCTGAAAGGAGGAGAAGGGGGAGAGACCACTTTTGTGTGAAAAGCCTTCTTTAGCATTCCAGTGAGAGAAACACGGCCCAAGGGGAGAAGAAGGTTAGGGTTTGGCTTCAAGGCAGATTTGGGAAGATTTCTTCCAAGGAAAGCTCAACTCTAGGGCCAAGAAGAATGGGAGCATCCTCAAATATGGTTTTCACCTCTTTCGCATTTGTTTTTGTTTTTCCCCCCTTCTAGCAAGGAGTAGACCTCCTTTCACTTGGTTTTCCTTCCACTTTCTAAGCCACCTAAAGTAGGTTAAGTTTGGGCAACCCTCAATGTTGAGTTAATCAAGTCGATTAATTGGTATTAAGTTGTCCGACCTTAGAGTTGAGTGAGTGAGTGAGTAAGTCAATTAGCGATTATCTAAACCGAGAGGGTCGAGTGACATGACCTTTCATCCCTACCTCAGTTTAGCAATTGAGATTGTGGTCTCCGACCACATATGCATCCCTCTGTGGTTCGCGCTTATCATGCCCAAAGCAATCGTTCCAATTCACATAGCATGGTAGCGGTTAGGGGGAAGCAACACCCGAGTTACTTTCCCACAAAAGAGTTTCCAAACCCAATCACCTTTGCTTTCTTTTATTTCAATTAGAAAACCTTTAAATTAAACCTTAGTTGCTAGATAATGATTTCGCTTACTACGCCCTTCCTCGTCTCTGGGTGCCAACTGAAGTAGCGGTAGACGGACCGACCTAGGTCGATATCTACATACTTGCCCTATACTGCACCCGACTAGAGTTTAAAAACTTGGGCTCTAGTTGGGGTTTTATTGTGGTGTAGGTTCGTGCAAGTCAAAAACCACAAATCTTGGCATGGGGATACCACTCGAACACTTGAACTCTTCACTTAATCCCAAAAACGAAAAATAAGAAAAAGAAAACAAACCTCCATTGGGTTGCCTCCTAACAAGCGTTAAGTCAACGTCACTAGCTTGACGTTGCAGATCTATCATGCTTTGGAACATGATGCAACTGAGAGTGGATCCTCCACGTTCTCGGGGCGAGGATGTAGCCTCCCAACTAAAGCTCGATAGGGTGGCCTTCTTGGCCGACAACCTTTGCTTTGCCCTTCTCCTTCTTTCAGGCCAAAGCCTGCTTCATCTTCTTTCTCCAAGCTTTCTTCTTCCTCTCTTTAGGAATAGTACCCTCATTAACTTCCTGCTTAATATCCTCACACGCAACCCAAGTAATAGTGGGGTTCTCCTTGAGAGGCTCTCCTCCACTCACATTCAAATCATCCGACACCAATTCCTTCACATCCTCATTCCTAGCCTTAGGTTCAATTTCAAGAGTGATCCTCTCCTCACCATCCCTCAGAATTAAGGTCCCCTCATTAACATCGATTAACGTCTTAGCGGTGGCAAGGAAGGGACGTCCAAGTATGAGGTGCATATCTGAGCCCTCACTTATACCAAGGATCACAAAATCCGTCGGATAGCAAAACGTGCCCACTCGTACTAGCATGTCCTCCACAATGCCCCTAGGATCAATGACCGAGCGGTCGACTAATGTGACACTAAGATTAGTGGTCTTAAGTTCACCTAGGTCTAGCCTTTTGAAAAGCTTATAGGGCCTCACATTCACACTTGCTCCTAAATCCGCCAAGGCATTTTCTATGTGATGGTTACCAATACTAAGAGGGATAGTGAAGCTACTTGGATCGAGTCGCTTCTTGGGCCACCGGTTGAGGATGAAGGCCGAGCACTCCTCGCCTAGAGTCACATTGGCGAGGTCTTCGAAATTTGGTTTCTTGGTGAGGAATCCTTTGAGGTACTTTGCGTACCTTGGCATGTGAGCCATAGCTTCAAGGAAGGGGACGTTGAGGTGGAGATTTTGGAGCATCTCCATGAAGCCCCCACATCTCGCTTCCAACCTCTCCTTATAAACACTTGTGGGGAAAGGAAGAGGTGGCTTGTACTCAACCATCGGAGATGGCATTGGCGATGCCTTCCTTGCCCATTTTTCTCTCCCTTCGAGGGCTCATCATCTCCATCCTTGGGGTAGGAGTCTTCCTTCTCAATCACTTTCTTAGCAACAACTCTCTGAATCACCTTCCCGCTTCTCAAGTAAATCGCATTGCACCGGCTTGATCTTTGGGGTTGGCAATGGTTTGAGAGGGTAGGGCTCCCTTTGGTCTCTCGGTGAGGATCCCGACAAGACTACCGATTTGCACCTCCAAATTTTGAAGGCTTGCTTGATGGCTTCTGAGTCCCGCCTCAACCGAGGTAAACTTGGTAGGTGCCACATCCATAATTGCTCAATCTTCTCGAACTTCTGAGCACTCGTGCTCACAAAGGTATTCACAAGGTCTTCAAGTTTGGATAGCTTGTTGGGTTGTTGTTGTTGTTGAAACCCTTTTTCCACCTTGTACTTGGTAAGGTTGTCGGAAGTTTCAGCCTTCGAATTGCGGCCTTTGTTGAATGAAATTTGGCCGAGGTTGGTAATTTCCCGTAGGGCCTTGGAAACCGGGGGGTCGCGGATTAGTCGGGGAAGGCCAAGCAAAGTTAGGATGATTTCTCAACCCGGGGTTATAGGTATTGCTATACGGGTTGTTCCCCCTAACATTGGCAACGAAATTGACTTGTTCCTCTGGAGTGCTTGGTTCCTTCATTGCTTGACAATCCGACAACTCATGGTTCGTGCTTGAACACCAAGTGCACAACATCACTTCTCTCTTCCCGTACTTCTTATCCTCGAGATGTACCTTGATCAACTTATCAAGTTTTGCCTCAAGTGGAGCACTCGCTCCAACACTCCTTACTCATCTTTCATTGCTTCTATTCCCGCTTCTCGTCAAACCCCAATCATAACCTTTGAGGGTCATATCTTGTAGCAATTGGGTCACTTGTGGTGGGGTCATATTAATTAGCCTCCCTTGACAAAGAGAATCAATGAGGATCTTGTCTTCATGTATGAGCTGTCCGTAGAAAGTTTCAATGTGTAATTTTTCTTCGAACCCATGGCGAGGGCATTGAAGAAAATAATCGGAGAATCTCTCCCGAGCATCCCTTAAGGTTTCATCTTCATTTTGCTTGAAATGGGTGATCTTCTTTCTCCACTCGGCCGTCTTCAAAGGCGGGCAATAGCGGGTCATAAATTTGTTGAAAAGATCATCCCACAAGGTTATTGAACAAGGCGACCGGTTGTTGAGCCATCTAAGTGCCTTCCCCGCAAGTGAGTAAGGGAAAAGCCTTAGTTTCAAAGCTTTCGCCGGCACCCCATTACTCTTCAAACTCCCCGCGAGCTCAAGAAATCGTTGCACGTGCTCCATGGTGATTCACTTGTGAGCCCATAGAACAAAGCATTGTTCTAAATCATTATCATGAGGGTTGGCTTGATTTTGAAATTGTTGGCTGCCACGGGAGGGTGTAGGATAGGAGACTGAATGTCCGCCGGCCGTGGGGCCATGTAATACCCCATTTTCCTTGGGGCTTCCTCCTCGGCCTCCTCCTCATTGTGGTTGTGAGCCTGGGCGGCGGTTCCTTCTCTTTGGTTCTCTGCCATCTCAACTCCAATATCCACTTCTCCTTCAACTCCTTCAACTTCTACTCCACAAACTCCAGGACACAATTATTGTCCCCTCTCTTCACTTCTCCTCCTTGCTTCCGCTAACTCCCTCTCCCGATCTAGGAGTTGGAGAGTCCGGTTGATGTTCTCATCAAGCGATACTAAGGGTGTCGGATTACTCCGGGTCATGGACCTCCCTGCACACACTTAGAGAACAAAACCACGTCTAGCACAAGCAAAGCACTCAAACAAACAAAGATGAAAATTAAAAGCTAGATTAACACTAAACAACTTTTATAAGATAACGGACCGAAGCTCCCCGACAACAGCGCCAAAAACTTGACTCGTCCCGAATATCACAATAAATTCCCACCTAAGGCCCTAGCATAAACCATATCTAGCAAATTGGTTTTTGGTTGAAAACTATGAGATTTAAATCAAAACAAAGCAAAAGTAAATGGTTTGAAAGCTATTGATGAGAAGGATCACTCGGGTGTCGCTTCCCACTAACTTATACCATGGCACATGGATTCGAATGGGACATTATTGGTAATGCAATCATGAACCGCTAGGAGGTGCAACTATGGTCGAGGACCACACTCTCAATTGCCAAACCAATGGATACATTATAGGCTACAAGAGTAGCCCTCTTGGTCAAGGCAATCATTAACCTAGTTGCTTAATTCAAGATAGAGGTTTGCCCTACATTAACCTAGGTAGGTGGCTTGTCAAGACCAAGGAATCCCAACTCAATTGAGCCTCTTTTAGAAAGGGGGGTTTCCCTAACCTAGGTTAGAATGGCCAATTAGATTTCTAAGCACACACATGCACAATCATAATGAAAAATACCTCATTCATTAAATTAAACAACACCTATAAAAAATCATTCAAGTCACACTACAACTATATGGCATATAGTTAGGGTCTCACAACACCCAAGTGAAAATGAGTACTACTCCATGCTAGAAAGGGGAAGGACACAAGAGAAATAGATAGAAACCATCATGGTGATGCCTCCAATCTCCTCTAAGCTTGTGTTGATCTTCTCTTGGGGAGATTCTTCCCAATTCATCACGTGGAGCAAACCCTAGGCTTCCTTCTTCCTTGGTTCGTCCTTTCTTTCTCTAAAATCTGAAGAAGAAGAAGACACTTTCTCACACTTGGGCTCCCTCTTCTCTCTTCCTTTCAGCTCACATAATATATCAGGATTCGGCTTAGTTCACGCCAGTGAACTCTTCAATGCGTTCGTGAACACAGAGCGTTGTTGACCATGAACTCGCCTTGCGCTAGTAACTACAGATTTCTCCCTAGACGCCTCGTGATTCACGGTTTTGGGCTTCAGTTCACGGCAATAGGACACTGTGAACTCCAATGATAACCCGTGAACCTCGCCTGAATCACCCTCTTTGCCCGGTCTTTGCCTCTTTTCGTCCAACTGTCGACTCCAGGGCCGATTTTGTTACACCCCGACATTGGGGTCCAGGTTCGACCGAACGGTTGGATGGGCGGTTGCGTACGAAGGTTGAAAACCGTAAATTAGAAATAATAGTAATAACAATGGGTTAATAACCATTATTATTATGATTATTTACATAATCATATCTCACCCACCCCTCCCATTAGTAACGGAAAAAAATAAGAAAAAAATAAAGGAAAATTCCTCTCCTCACTCACACGTTACACCCCATCCCTCTCTGTGACTCTTCCTCTCTCCCTAACGTAAACCGAAGAGACTCAGAGGGAAGGAAATAAAAAGAGAAAGGAAGAAGGGGACCGCTCCTTATCATCTCCCTGGCAACGCAAAAACACCAGCCTCTCTCCCGCGACCCAGCGACGACTAGCAGCAGTGGGCGACGCCAGCCTTCCTCGCCGTCGGCTCCGTCCCGCCGCAAACTGCCGGCTGCTCTTCACCTCGCCATCATCCCTCACGCGACGGTGGATACGCTAGAGGTAAGGACTGATGGTTTGAGTGTGGCTTCGAGCTCAATTTTGTTTTTGTAGCTAACCGGATTGTGTTGGCGGCAAGGCGTACAAGACTCGTCGGGAAGTTGCGTCGGCAGTACCGGCTTAGTCGACCTTAACCAAAATTTGAAACCTTAGTATCACCGCGAAGAGGATAAGCCCAGGATCGTCACGGTCTCAACGAAATCGAATTTGGACGTCAGATGAGGGAGATATGAGCCTCGAAGGTTTGGGACGCAAATCGGATAGTTCAGGTACCGATTCTTTCTATTCGTAAAATTAGAGGATTATTTCTGTAAATTTCCGAAGAGGTGGTGGCCAACTCGTTGACTGGGAATTTACCAAATAGGTACCTGGTAATTTGAAAACTAACAGGATGTTTATTTTTACCATAACTCGATCGATTGACGTCTGATCGAGGAACCGTATGCGCCTATGTAATCGTGAATGTGAGGAGAATATTTCGGAATCAAATATGGAAATATTATAGCAGAATCAGAATTTGTTTCAACGGATTCGAGGTGAGTGTAAAGGGGGTAAATTCTACTCTTTACGAGTTTTAAATATGTGCTTACTTGAAGTATATGCCAGTGCTTGATTATGTTTATGGGTAATGATGTGTGTTCTTTTGATTTATAGTTTGAAATATATATTATGAGATTTGAGTACTTAATTAAAGCTTTTACGTTTCGTTTGACGATTATGTTAAAGTGATAAGAGCAACAGAAAGTCATAAGTAAGAATAAGTTAACCTCGCTTAGCTAGCCACTAGCTAGATGGATTCCTACCGGACGGTGATAAGTTCCGCGGTAGTTGGTCACTACCGGATGGTGATACGTTCCGCGGTAGTCACGCCGTAGTTTGACACCGGATGGTGATTCATTCCGCAGTGGTCAAACCCATTTGAGGGGCACCCCATTGTGAGGGTAGTCATGTTTAAGAAGTAAGAAAGTAAGTAAAGCTAGTAGTGGCGCCAACTAAGTCGAGGTAGGGGCCCCAGTAAGATAAAGGATGAGATAGCACAGTTTTAAGAGTTAAAGTTTAAAGGCGGAAGTACAAACAACCTCCATAAGTTTAAGTCAAATGTTTTAAGCAAAGTGCTCAAGTATTAAAAGCAACAAACGTAAGGGCGTAGACTGACCCCAACTCACTCACTAGTTTGAAGAGGAAGAGGAGGAGCAGTTAGAGAGCAGCGGTTCGAGGTGGAGCTAGCTGGAGGAGGATGGTACGAGCATCACGGAGGATGTCTAGTCAAGGTTATCATTCAGCAGTAGCGTTTAAGATTAATTAGTTAATATACTTTATGATTATGAGTATAGACTGGAGATCATATTGAGATTTTAAGGTTTGAGTTAATTTGCCCATGTGTTAGGGCGTTGCTTTTAACTACAAGTGTGTATGTTTTCAGTATTTTATTTATGATAAATTTTTCCCACTATAATTTAAGGTTTGAGTATTTTATTTTTCAAGGGCATTTTAGTAAAAGTAGTACCCGGCCGGGTTAGGGTGTTACGGGTTTCACCTGTTGGATCCCAAAACACACTAAAACACACAAAACCTAGCGTAAAATCACCCTTTTAGGAGTTCAAATGCTACAAACGCCCAAGGGAAACGGGGATAAAATGTGTGCAATTAGGCCTGATCAGAATACTTGTATGTGTTGAATGATTTGTGTGTGGTTGTGTTTAGTGTGAATGTAGAGGGTTTTGTCATGGTGATTGTGTATGTTATGTTGACCTAGCTTAGAGATGAGACCTCCTTAGATTAAAAGGCTCAATTAAAGATGGGTGTTCTTGGGCATTGCATGCCTCCTAGGCTAGTTTAGAGAGGAAACCTCCTTTATCCAAAGAGGCTCAATTTGAGCTGGGTTTCCTTGGGCATTCAAGGCCTCCTATACTAGTTTAGAGAGAACCCTCCTTAACCTAAGAGGCTCTATTAGAGATGGATTTCCTTGGGCATTTCATGCCTCCTATTCTAGGTTAATTAAGGGAAAATCTCCTATTTTGTATTAGCACTTAGGGTTTGGTTGTGGGTGGCAGTCCGAACTCCAATTCGAGGGTTAAGTTTAACCATTCCTTAGTCGATAGGTTGAGAGAGTCACATTAGAGGCTTAGATAATTTCCCATTTTCTCAACTTAGAGACTAAGAGGGTAGCCTTGCCTAATTGTTAGAATTCCCTGCAGTTTATAACCCCCTAACCACACATGGTCGTTCGATTCATCAAGTCGTAATTATTAGCTAGAGGGAGCAACACCTGGTTGAACTCTTCTCTCATCGGGCCAACCACGATTTACTTGCTTATTTTCATTTATAGTTTTCTTAGTTTTAAACCCAAAAAAGTTTGCTAGATAACAACCTAAGCGACTGAAGTAGGGGTACATGAACCGGCTCGGGTTTGACGATTAAATACTTGCCCTATACTGCACCCGGCTAGAGTTCAAAAACTTGGGCTCTAGTCGGGATTAATTCGCGGTGTAGTTCCGTGCGAGTCAAGTTTTTGGTGCCGTTGTCGGGGAACTGCGGTCCATTATTTTGAAAAGGTCGCTTAGTGTTACTCTAGCATTTTGTATCTTGCCTTTTTGTTTGTGTTTTGTGTGTGTTTTGTTTACCACTCTTCGTCTTGAAGGGTGGTTTGTGTGTGTTTGATTGTCCTTTTTAGTATTTTTTGTGTTTGTAGGGGGTATCCACCAACACCCGAGAGTGGTTACCTAGAACTTCATGGGACGATGAAGAAGGGGGAAGTCAAGGATCCGGATTCTACTATCACCCTCCCTTCCAAGAAGAGCAACCATGCTCATGCGGATACCAAGAAGCTTCCCCATATCAAGAAGGTTTCCCTCTACGACTCGAGGTGAAATCCAAGTTGGAGTTGGCAATGGAGGCTTTCATGGGACAAACTTCAAGGCCATGTGCCACTCCACAACCGGAGCCAAAGAGCAAATTAGAGCTCATGGTGGAGCGATTCGCCCAGGGCACCGATGAAGGGTGCTCTAGCCAGGACCTCCCAATTGCCAACCATCTCGACTCAACCTTTCTTTGGGAATTGGAGGAGCTCCTTCGACACACGGAGAGGCTAGGAGGGCTTGTTGAGCAAGCATGTGCACAACTTGCTCACAATCGCCTCCCACCATTAGAAGAAGGAAGGGAGTTCGAAGAGGCAAGCCACTAGAACTTTGGAAGAATGAGCTCCAACATGGATTTCCAACCCCTCCCTCCACCTGATTTGACACTTGAAGAGAAGGTGGCATGAGCTTGTGCAAGCTATCGCCTCTCATCATTGGAGGAGAAAGAGGAGGTTGAAGGAGCG